ATGTTAAAGAAAGTGATACAAGGATGTCGTCTAAATCTTTAACAACTTTTAAGTTATTCGTAGACATAATTTTATATAAAACTAAAAATTATTATAAAAGGTTTCGATTATTTACATTATAAATTTGTACATAATAAAAATAAATTGGGATGTCAAATATAAATTATCACCCTGTATATGATTTTGAAGTTGTGATATTTGCGTATCTGGGTATTAGGGCTCATGGAAATTAGGACTTATAGGAATATGATTGTTTGGAATTAGTTCGTTATTTAACGGTTTTCCTATGAAGGTTAAGTGTTTAAATTTCAAACTACTTTGAAGTTTTAAACGGTTACCGTGTTTAACTGAATTCTTGATTTCGAAGTCTTTAAGATTGGTTTAAGTGTGAGTGTAAAATGGAAACACCTCGTTCCCGAGAAAATTCGATGGACAGAAGCCGTGAATCTGTACACGTCTTTTGCAGACTAAAACCATTAGAAAACGAGACAGAAACTTCTATAAAACTACTATCACCAACTACATTAACTATACGTTCGACTGCAGATAAATCTACAAAAAGGGATGTACATTACATATTTAATCATATTTTCACATCATATTCTTCTCAAAAAGAAATTTTCGACCATGTCGCTTTGCCCCTTCTAGAAGGTGTCATTAACGGAAAGAATGGTTTACTCTTTACATACGGGGTCACAGGGTCTGGTAAAACATACACTTTAACAGGTGAGCCCAATAACCCTGGAATTATGCCTCGGTGTATAGACACATTATTTAATACAATTGCAAATTTTCAAACACAAAAATATGTGATAAAGTCTGATAAAATGAATGGGTTTGAAATTCAGTCAGAGAGTGATGCTGTTGAAGACAGATTTAGAGAAACTAGAACAAATAAAATATCCAAAACTAATCGAAGAGCTATGGGAGACTGTAAGTCTTACTATACAAACGATGGTTCTAGACTTACAAACTTAAACGAGAACAGTTTGTACTGTGTGTTCATTAGTTACATTGAAATCTACAATAACATTGTGTTTGATTTGCTTGATGAGTCTACTTCCACAAGACCAGAATCGAAAATTTTAAGGGAAGATTCTCAAAAAAACATGTACGTCAATGGAAGTGTCGAATTAGAAGTTAAATCAGCAGCAGAAGCCTACGAACTATTTTTCAAAGGGCAGAAGAGAAAACGTATGGCTTACACGGCACTTAATGCAGAATCTAGTCGCAGTCACTCAATTTTTAATATTCGTATTGTGCAAATAGAACAAGTTGCACAAAATAGTCATGGACAAGCTGCAGTTCCAGAAAATAATATAATGAGGGTGGGACAGTTGAGTTTAGTGGATTTAGCAGGTTCAGAAAGATGCAGTCGGACACAAACTACAGGTAAATAATGTTGTAAATTTTACAAATCATTTAATAGTAAAGCATATTTCACCGGTCTGAAATAAACTCACTGTACTTACATACATACCCTGACAGTAATATATATCAATATTATTTCGTATATATCTCATACATTAAATATTAATTGAATTTCTGAATTAATTTTATTAATAGTAATTAATAAACATTCTGAGCTGGTTCATAAAAATTCCAATAGTGTGAATTGGCTATTTAAATGCCTTACTTATTTGGATATCAACTTATTACTCAATTTATGTTTATTAATGTCCATTTTTTTTTATTAAGGCCTAAGATTAAAAGAAGCCAGTATTATCAATAATTCCTTGATGACTTTACGTATTTGTCTGGAAACATTAAGAGAAAACCAGCAAACTGGTAATAACAAATTGGTCCCATATAGGGACAGTCGCTTGACACTGCTTTTTAAAAACTACTTCGAAGGAGGAGGTCAAGTGAGGATGGTGGTTTGCATAAATCCTTCTCTTAGAGACTATGAAGAAAATCTGCAGGTGCTGAAGTTTGCAGAAATGACTAAAGATGTTAAAGTAATCAATCCAGAACCACGAACTCCTTACAACATCAGGAGGGCTAAAACTAAGACTCCCGGGGTCACGAGGACACCTGCGACGATGAAAAGGTCCAGGCCAGCATCATTTTTATTACCAAAATTACCAATATTCACAACAGATGCGAATAAAAGCGTTAAAAGATTCTTGGATGAAACAAGTAATCTTCTCAAAGTTCTAAATCTGAGAAAAGAAAAAAGCCTTGGTAAGAATCTTGATTTTTTTTTAGTTTAAAAAGTTTTCTTAGGGCTTCATAAAAAGAAGCCCAAACTTCCAATTTCTACGAATGAGTGCATGTTAACTGAAAAACTTTTTTGAATTACGTCAGTACATGTCTATCTACTGATATTTGCTGCTAAATGAAGTATTTAAAACTTTTAATTTTGGTACGAAGAAATTGACAGGGAATGTTAGAAAATCAGGGGAAAATTATAAATAGACAAATGAAAAGTTAAATAACTGAAACAGAATAAATTAAATTATGATATTAATATAATAGTTTTGAAAACAAAAAGAAATACAATACAATCTTTTTCCGGTATGATTTTGTGATCGCAAATTAATTAAATTAATTATAAATATTTAAGATGATGGATAGATTCAACAATTTCTCCGATTTTATTTGTGTTAAATTTATTACAGGCTTTAATAGTATTGTTCGTGAAAAAGAAAATCATTTTCGTAAACGGCTTGTTGATATAAATCAGCAAATGTTAGTATCTCAATCGGAAGCTCAGAGCATCAAAGCGCTTTTGAAGAAAGAAAAGCGAAAAAATTACAATTTGGAAACGAAACTTGCCGATGTAGAGGCTAATCAAAAAGACCTCGAAATGCAAATCAGCAATTTTGAAGAGGTGATCAAGAAACAGCAGCTGAAGATCGACGAAAAAGACATGAAAATAAACCAAAATTTGCTCGAAAAGGAGAAAACTAAACAAAAACAGGCTCTTAAGGCTGAAAGGATAGCCCAAGAACTTGAAGCCAAGCACAGGCAACAGAGGGCTCATTTGCAAGCTGAAATGGATGCTCAAGATATGAAACTAAAAAAGGTCAAAGAACTGTTAGACAGCGAGGTCCCCATGTCTCCACTGCAAATTCCTGGTAGCATGGCCACTATAGATTTTGATGCACCCATGACCACGAAACGAGAATCTCCACCAGCACAAAGTGAAGGTAAAGACACTTAATAATTTGGATAATGTCCAGATTAAAATCCGTACCTACTGATAAGCTGTTTTTCCTTTTTTCATTTGTAGTTTACGTTTAAATGCTTTGGGTGTTATTTTCTCATGCCAGCATCATCTCCTGCTTTTTTCTATTTTCTAATTCAAAAAATGATATGTAAATTCTGAACTTTATGCATTGATTGTACACATATGTGTGCACTTTTAAATACGAAAAATGCCCTCAATTTTTGCTCATTCCAAAACCAATTCTAATTCCTCTTTATCATTCTAAGGTGTTATCAATGAAAGTACTTCCCATCGTCGTAATATGATCAGGACACCTCTTCGGCATCGCAGATCTCGATCTACTGGCGATGTATGGCTGGAACACAATTCAATAAAACCTGTGCCCCTTGGGACGGTACTACAACCCTCAATGAAGAAACGAAAGTCAGTTAGCAAACTAAAGAAAGCAGATGACGTAACAAATCCCAAACAGACAAAATACTGCCTTATAACTCAAGAACAGGATGACGAGGGTGAACTAGAAACGAAGGTGTATAAGGGAGACATTCTACCCACATGTGGAGGGGGTGCGCAGGTTGTATTCAACGATGTGGAGAGATTGAGGCAAGAATCGCCCACGGGCACTCCTACTTCCGGCTACAGACAGTAGGCGTCTCAAATACTTGTACATATATTGTGAAATAATTTTAAGTTTATTTTTAAGTTTTATTAATTGATTTAATATTCGCGAAAGTTTTGTTGTTTTGATACTTGATAGCTTTTTTATAATTTTATTTTTTTACGACATAACTAAATTTTTTAACAATGAATAAAATATATTTATGAATTTATTGGCAAAATTCCCTCCCAAACATCTTGGAAAAATAAAAACATTGTCTAAATTGATTTTAATGTTTCTGTAGTTGTATGTATACATAATATATGAGGTCATTGGGGTAATTTTAAATTGCATTCCTTGGCCAGTTCAAGTGGCGTTCTAATTCAGTTTACACCATTAAAAAGAACTATATATTGTTTTGCTTAAAACTTGCCCTTTAAAGACTAATAAGTGCTTGTTTTGGAAGTAACGAAAAGTAACGAGTTAGTAAGGAAGGAGACCTACAAACATTGGTAATTATAAGTAGTAATCAGGTAGCTGTCAAAGGACAAAGTAATTTTTTCATCTCTTATTTCACTTTCTACCCTCAGTTTTTGTCTTTCGAATCCTACATAAAAAAAAATTAAAGAAAAGAACTTCAAAATGTGTTAAAGTAAAATTGATAAACTGCGAACGTCACATTTCCTTAGACCTCCCCTCCTCCCGTGTCATGTATCAATATCCCTCCCTGATCCTTATTTGCCAACGTATTTAGTAAACGACCCCTAAGTAGTTATATAATAAAATTTTACTAATTAAAACATTTATTTTTGGAAAACGTATCCTCTTCTAATTATTTTCAAAAATACATTATAAAATTATATGGAACTTCATATGGAAAAGTTTACAATATATGTAATAAAATACGTTTGAAATTCCTAAACTACCTTATTTGTACTATTATCTTAGCAAGAAAAAAATGTGAAAATGTTAACAGAAGACATGCAATATTACAAAAATATTAGTAAATGGTTTAATTTACACTAGATGTGTTTAAAAAAACGGCTCTTTGGGGACTGACATACTGCTCCACTTATACAAATACCCTGACTTTCATATTGGACCAGCTCAATAAGTCTGGTTTAATACTTGTTTGAAATATTTTTTTATAAACTAACTGCATATTCAAACATTGCTTTACCTTGCAGTACTGCTTAGGAAAAAAGATATTCCTTACTTTTCCTGGAACATTATTGTTATTTTTCCTGGACACTTGTCTCTACACCAATTTTTCTGATATAAATTATACTAAAAGGGAACACTGCTATTTTGACTTTAATCCAATACTGTTAAAGTAAGACATTCACTTTTTGAAATTATTGTTTCATGTTATTTTTTGTGCTAATAATGAAATATATGAGTGGGATTTTCTCATATTGGAATTTAGGGTCTCCTCATAATAAGCCTGATCATTGGTGAAATTTAAAAGTCAATCAAAATGTCAGCATGATTACATTTGCTTATTTCTAATCATTGGGTAAAAATTTTATTAAAAAGAATTCACACACACATCCTTTAATTCATACTAAGAGTTTTGGGGATAAGCATTAAAGCATTTATAAATAAATACCTTCTATTAACTTAAATCCACATTTCCAGCCCCAGCCACTGTCTTCCTAAAATATTCTCATCAGTAGCCTGATCAATGAGACACTTGACCTGATCCTCTTCGCTTAGTTTATTTCCAGTGGTTGTTGTTGTTGCCCTCACATTATATTGAGGATCACCTTTTACCAAGTCTATAAATCCTTCTACAAACGGTGAATTTCCTGCTTGCAATTCTTCAATCATTATTTTTGCTGGATTAACTCCTTCTAGTTTTTCACGACAGTGCAAAATCTTCTGTTCGGGATACCACGTCTCGCTATCGTTCTTGAGTTCAGAATTCTTGGCATAATCCAACCACTCCAGGGAAGGTTCCTTAAGGAAGACTGACATTGTTGCGAGGAGGACTTGTCTATTTTTACGAAAAGCTCTCAGGGAATGGATCATCGTTTCCTGGAATAAACCATGACAGTCTAAAGGTTTGAGGAGGTTCACTATGTGAGGTGTCAGGCGAAACGGTATAAGCTCAGGAACACCGAGGATTTGAGTACCGACACCGAAAGCACAACCAAAATCAATGCCAAGAGGATGGCCATTTTCCAAAGAAATTTTCGTGTTACTAAGATGACGGTCTCCTATGCCGAGAATCCATTGGGCTATACACATTACAGAGTAACTGACTGCGAAGGTGTGTCTTAGGGCAAAAAAGCTCTCTGAATCGATACTGATGTTCCAAAAAGCTTGCCTGAGAAAAAAAAGACATTTTGCTAAAGTATAAACAATATTCATATTCTAAACATTGTGATTTAATGCTGCGAGATAAATATGTGATTTTTTGTATGATAACGAACAAAGGTTCACACTAACTCGATACGTTTTTAGTTTTCTGTAATATGGTCATTAAAAGCTTTTACAAGTGCCTAAAGTTGATGCTTCTTGTAGGACACGTACTTCCAATAGAAATAAAAAAAAATAAAAAATGGCCTTCGACAGGCTTTAGAACAAAGCTTTATCTANCTCAAGTAGGAGAGAGACAGATGTCGAACGCTGCCGAACGCGGAGGCCGATTGTGCCTCTTTGTCGCTCGTTCCGCGCTCTCGCTTGCACTTCAAGCCTTAAATGGAACGCCCTTTAGAGGTAACGCCGCATGACTAATGTTTTTTCGTGCGTGCATCGAATTATAAGACGTTGTCACGTCAAAAACGAAAATAATTTTGGACCATAATGGTACTTACCATCTGAACGAACCCCTAAAGAAATAATTTCGTTTGCATGTATTTCGTTGGCATACCATAATTTTAAGAAACTAATGATGCTTCTAACTTTAGCAGGAGCGGGATAACGTCCAAGAAGTTCATTCACTTTTTGCTAAAAGGATTTGAAAATGTTGGGAATAAATCATTGTTTACAAATAATTTGATTTTACGAAAACAAAAGCAATAAAACAATTCAAAAATAATGAAAAACAATGTTCATCTTTTGGGAATTGCTACTCCTCCCTTTTCTAATAGTTTGGCTCCACAAGTGTTAAAGCTATACTACCAGCGTGTATCAAACAAACAACTAAATAAAACAATACATATGTAGGTACTTAGTTATTAAAAAATTATAGTTATTAAAAATTATAACGGTTTAATTTCAGCTAAAAGTGCAAGAGTGCAAAATCCAACAGACAGCGGAAAACTGCTATTTAGAGTAAACGTATTAATTTCGTTTGGTGATTCCCAAAATCTACAACCATAAGTTTTATACCCTAAATCTTGACAATTTAAAATCCGGATAGGCCAAAATACCATCATTATCAACACTGTCATAAAGTAGTCCTTCCTTAACTATTTGTGAGTAGTAATCTAACCTTGGTCTACCTCTACTCCTCTTAACTCCTGTTTTCGCTGATAATATGTCTCTAACTAGCCCTTTATGCCTGAGAAGGTGTCCTACCGACCTACCTCGCCTACCGACATGTGAAAATATATATACACTTTTTCAATGAAATCCTACAAATGGAACGGTAAACACCATCTGTGGTACCATGCTACGTTTAGTGAAATTCAATATTCTCAACAAGGTCCATTTACTTTTTTAATGTTGTTTAATTTTAGGAGTAGGAGACCTACTCCATCCACCCCTATCTCCCCTCGACCCTGGACAATTACCAAATATAGACTCAAATTTATAAATATCTAAAATCCTAATAGAGGCAGTGTAGCGCCATCTAGTGAATGTTACAACAACTCTTTCTATAGGTACTTCTTCAGCTGGAAGATTTATCGATCAACTTAAACGTTCTTAAAATTAAAAATATCAATAAAACATTAATGTGATGTAGATTTTCAGACCTGAGTAATTCGGCCCATGAGAATTTTAGATTTACGGTTTTGGTTTATATATTGGATATTATATTTATCCTTCTCGGGGTTTTGGGGTGGGCCTGATTCCCTCGTAGGTACTCGTATAAAATGAAGAAGATCTAACTTGAAGAATTCTTCCCTATTTTATTTGTTTTATAAATTATTTATTAGTTCATGCGTAACTTACTGGTTTTTCCTCTGCAGTTTCCCTGAGGTCCTCAATTTCCTCAACTAAATAACCGGCAAATCTGAGTTCGGTAACCACATGACCCAATGGTAAACTCGATTCACTTCTCGTTAAGGCTCTGGTGTAGGGTAAAAGCATGTCACATCGAAGTACAACATTTTGCACGTCCACGAAGTGGTCGCTACCGATAAAACCCCAAACTGGCGGTCCGGCCATTTCGGCTACTGGATAATTACCCTCATTCGATAAAGCGTCCAAATATTTAAGGCCAATATCAGCCGTAACTGCAACAATGTTATAGCTCCTTACACGAGGGCAAACTTGTACGATGGTCATCGCTATAAAACAGCGCGGCCCTTCGTTGGCTACCACAATTCGTAAGTCCCTTTTGGCATACGCATTTATTTCGTCACCTAACTGATACGAGTAGTACAGGCATCGGATGAACCAGTCGTTGAAGGTTTCAAGTTTCTTTCGTCTGCAAAAAGAGTGGGAGTGCACCAACTGATTATTACAATCGATCATTTAACATTCCTAAACGCTATATGAACATTCATCAAAACGAAAAGTTTTTTGTAGACTATATTAAGATTAAAGCTAACGCTTTTGCAGTTGATGAATTGATGGTTTCCTCATAACTGCATTCGGTTGTCCTGCAGTCCTGATTATGTCACGTGGTGCTCTGCGTTGAAAGGAAGTCCGTTAAAATGAATGTAACTGATTTCTCAAAGAACGATTTTGACAAAATTCACAGAGTAGTTTTTTCCTATACCAATCATACATAAATATGTAGTATTAGATAGAGGGACGGAAAAGGGATATATTTGTACCTATAGTTTATATAAGAAAACAACAGGCGATTGGTAATTAGGTGAAACGTTTAAGAAATAAAAATAAAGAAGCCAAACTTCGGAAAAAATAAGGTAGAACTGGATTTTCATAAAACCTTGCTTTTGTGCCTCCAGACGTAGTACTGAGAGTCCTGATCCTCACCGATACATGTGTCGCCGTATGTTAGGGGGGAGGCTTTTACTCCCCTCAAGTTAAACGGTTTTTTGCGAAAATTTTGTTAATGGTCACCTTTATCGAAACAATTGTGGTTATCAAATTTGTGCTTTGCCTACATATATATGTGTAGTTGTAAAGTTGTAACGTAAAGATTAGAAGCGCTTTAGATGTGCTATAGGAAGATGTCAAAAATACCGTGGATAGAAATGATTAGAAGTGAGGAAGTGTTAGAAAAAGTAGGAGAGCAGAGGGATCATTATGGAAGTCAACAAGAAATAAACGATATACATACGACATCTTCTCGGTCATGAACTGCTACTTAAAGACTTCATAGAAGCAGAAACAGGAGTTAGAAGGGGCAGAGAAGAGACAGAGACACACACTAGATAACTCTGTACAAAAACAGTTAAAGATATGGGTTACTCCAGTTTTAGAAAAACGCGAAGATTCCTTAATAAACTTTAGAAAACATCAACATACGAAATACTAGGAAATAGTAGCACTTTGAGCCAGTTCTCCTAATAATTTCATTTCAAAAATATTAATACAGTTATAGCGTTTATTTATTTTGTATAGTGTTTGATCAGGGGGGTAAATTTTAAGTTAAAGGTGTAATTTTGAAACCAAAAAGAAGTTCCATTGGGATTATTTTATTGATATCTACGATGCAAGTGCTAAATGCAAAATTTTTAACAAAATATTCGCGAAAAGGGCGTCATCATCATAAGGTCGTCAGTCCTAAGATTGGCAGGACACGTACCTTCACTCTTTCCTATCCTGAGCTAATCTTCGCATTTCCCTAAAACTAGAACAACCCACATCCTTAACTATTTGCGAACAGTTAAATTTTCTAATTTATCTACTTGCCTCATTGTCCTAACATTCCACACTCCGACTCGTGAAATATTGCACTTATTGATGACATCTCCCGAGGTAGTCCTCACCCGGACATACGAATGGGGGATTAATTTACGTTCGGAGTACTTTACCCCAGAGGACGCCATCATTTAATATGTGTGATACGTTTTACTTGGGATATCATAATGTGGTGTTTTCCCGTTACCTTCCACATCGCAGTATTGTGCATCAGGGTGTCATACCGATCCTCGTGATCTCTGCCACCCTGAGTACTGAAAGAGCTACTGCCCTCTTTCAGGGATTTGTCGAAAAGGGCGCACAACCATTAAAGAGTCACCTAAAATTATTACATTTCCACTTCCGCAAAAATTTACTATTTACTTCTGTTTGCGTTTTTGTTCCCGTTATTATTGCATCGCTAGTAGTAGTTAGAGAATGGGAGAAGATGGGAAGAATACCTGAGATATGCAGAGCTAGTTAGTATTAGTAGTTAGACGTATTAGAAATAGAAACAGGAGTGAAGAAGAGCACAAGAAGAACTACATTAGGTTATTGTTCACAAAATAGAACTGACCCTATTATGATGATGATGACCACATGTGGATTGTGATTGCGAACTTATTGATTCCTATTAGCACACAATATTTATACTACAAATAGGTAACATTGTTGGTCTCCACAGTGACATTAACAAAATTAAAAAAGTAGAAGTTGCATCTATTGGAAACTTTAGAAATCCAAAAATCTTTTACTTCAATCTAGTAAATTACGAAGTATAATTAAATTGTAGATCCACTACTTATTGTTACGATCTATATGCCTTTCTTATTATTTACGTATTTAAAATACATCTTTCATTATAACTCTTTCAGCAATTCCGTATTATAACAAAAAAAATTATTTACTTATTTTTAATAAGAACAACGGAACAAAACATAAATTGTAGATATTTTTTTGCATTAATAATTACTTACTTACAAATATCATCCACTATAAGTAGTAGATCACATACAGGTAAAGTTTCTTTTAATGAAGTGATTACTTCAACTTCTAAAATGTCCTTCATATCCTCGAGGACATCGCAAAGGAATTCGCACATCGGCGCGTCTTCGCTATATGGTTCATTCCGAAAGTCGTGCAAATATACTTTGATTCCGTATTTTAAGGATAGTTTTTCAACTGTAAGTAGTTCGGGTAACAAAAGAATAATCATGGGGTTGCACGCCCCGGTCACCATGATGTGTCGAGTTTGTTTAATACATTCGCTCATTTCGAAAAGTTGCTGTTCATAAAACTAAAACGAGGATTATTGATTTTAGTGCCTTAAATAAAATTTTGAAG